GATCTACACGGTCCCTTCCGACCCTACTTCTATGATTCTATGATACCTAGAGAGGTTGCAGAATCTCTGTCCTTGGAAGTTTTCAAGAACAGGATAGACATAAGACTGATATGGCATGGATGATCCTACTTTGACCTGGACTAGGTGACCTTGTGAGGTCTCTTCCAGTCCTAGTTTCCTAAATTCCTATGAAAAGCTGTTCAAATTCTGGGGTCTAGTTCAAATCCACTCCAACCATTATTATTTTATGACTCATACAAAACTAGCTTATTGATCTCAATGCAGCCATCCATAGACAAGCACCAATATCAAAGACCATCATTACAAACCTTACTGACTGTCAGCGGAGAGACTTAGCACTAGAGTCCTGAAGACTGGACTGCCCTTTCATCCCCATAGCAATGCCTCTTTGAAGCCAGACTGAAGCACACAGGCAATACAGTGGGGGGAAGCTAGAGCTGCTGCAGCCAGGGCTGTACCTGTTCCAGAAAGAGACCTCTATTCTGCAGGGCTGTTAAATCAGCCTCTACCTTTTATGACTTCATAATTCATGTTAGAAATTTAAATTTTAAATGCACAAGTGGAAGACAAGTTCCAGAAAGGATTCTTACAGCCAGCAGGAGGGCTTATGCCAGCTGCTTGAAAAGTTTTTGAATATTTTCCAAGGAACCGTTACACAGCCCAAATTATCCCTGCCAGGTTAGCTACCCATTACCTTTTCCCTTTTAATTCCTATTTTTGTCTGCAATAAGACACTGCCTTGTTGAAGGGCTGGATAGAATTCCTCCTTCAAACCCATCAATGCTATTCATAGATCTGGCACAGTAACACAACTTGGTCAGGGAAGGCTATCCACTTACCTGGTCTGATGAGCTGGAGATCCAGCTCTCATGTGAGATAGTGCGGATTGCTATGCACTGAGCTACGAACCAGTCTCACCAGTTTTCTAACACCTGATATTTGCCATTAGCACTTTCATGTAGTTTATCCTCTGCTGTCACTTTCATAACTATGTCATGATTTGAGCAAAACTAAGGAAGAGAGAGACTAGTTAAGATTTTTTTTTTTAAAGACACAAACAGCCATTGGTATATTTCAATCGATAAGACAGGCTTTTGCAAGCAATTTTCCCAAATGGCAACATGAAAAAAATCTCCAGCTTCTACCTTCCTCCAAAATTTGTTATCAGTTGCATCCATTGTCTGTCACTAAATTCTCCTGTTTCCTTCCCTGTTTAGTATTTATGGCTCCTTCACTCATTTGAACAACAAAACAATTTCTCATTTCATTCCCTTTGTTTTCCTTCTCACTGTTTCATCATAGAAACATTTCCCTTCTGTCTCTTATACTAATGATTCTTCAGTACTTAACTCCTCTATTCTTCTTTATTGTTGTCAACATTATTGTTCCGCTATGTTTAGATTGATGTGGCACACAGCCATATCTATGCAGTTACTGGCCCTGATCTTTAGTGGTTGCCAAGAAGTGTTCAGCACAGCTCAGGAGGGGAAGCAAAACCAACTATTATTCCCCGCTTTGCATTTTCCAGTTTTTGGGCTTGCTATATGCAGATTCAACCTGGCGATAAATCACAGCTGTTCAACTAGCAGTCTGTGGGCCACATGCAGCCCACAATGAGGCAACGTGCAGCCCCTGGACTCTCACGCAGCTACTACTCCCCCCTCCACAGCTCTGGCTGCAACAGCAGACAGTCTCTCCTCTGGCTTCTGCTTCCTGTCTTTGCCTCACCTAGGACACTTCCACATGTTGATTAATGCTATACAGGTTTACTGAGTAGCAAATTACTGTGTGGTAAACCAGCCTTGGGAACACATCTATATGTGTACCCAGTAGGGAGCAGATTTGCTCCTTATAGGACTAAGCAGATCCAGGGCTGCCCCTGCCCTGCTCTGACCTCCCTCAGCCACCAGGGGGAGCTGCAGCCTCCAGTTGCAACTGCCCAGGTGCCAGGGGGCTCTGTGTGGGGAGGGAGGGGTCTTCAGTGGAGAACAGGTAGTCTTAACCTGGCAGGGGTCTCCGGGGGGGGACGGGCAGGCTTAGCCTGGTAGGGGTCTCCAAGAATTGGGAAGATTCAGCCTGGCAGGGGTCTCCAGGGGGCAGGCAGTCCCAGCCAGGCAGGGATCTCCAGGGGGCAGACAGGCTCAACCTGGCAGGTGTTGCTGTCTTGGGAGCCTGTGGTGAGTTCACCATGGATGCTCCCCACCCTCTCCACCAGCAGTGGCAGATAGGACTACATGTCTGCTAGGTACCCTCAGACCACCTCCTCCCACAACTCCTGCAGTAGGACACCTAGGCTGCTGCCCATGGACCCCAGGCCCACAGCACACCCCCAAGACTATGTGCACTTCAGACAGTTTCCAATCAAGAATCTTTATTTCCTTCCAACACACTCCCTCCCATCCCTCCTCCCCAACAACATGCCCTCCACAACTTCAATGTCCACCATGAATAAAACACCCTCTTCCCCATGCAACTATTTACAAGACTGTGGTTCGTGTAGTGTGAGGGGATAATGGTGGCCTGGCAGTGCCTATGGCATGGAGCCTATGGAGAAATGCCCAGCACCCAGCCTCTGGCAGCACCACCATGGGTGCGGACCGCAGTGAGGCCAGTGGCCCGGGGGCTTGGCCCTGGGTGAAGGCAGACGCTATCCACCCTGCTCCCCCTCCTCCTCCATGGGGCCAGGCCCAGTGGGGGCCATCTCCTGCTCAGGGGCCACATGGTGGGTGGGAGAATGGGGGGTGCCAGCCAAGGTAGGCAGCCTAGCTGCTGAGGGACCTGGCTTTGGGGCAGGAGGGCCTAGCCACTGCACCTGCTGCTGGACCTCCTCCCAGGTCCACTGGGCTAGAGCCAGTGGCTGGCTGCCAGGGGGCGGGCAGGGCCAGGGCTGGCGGCTGGGTGGTGAGCAACTACCAGGAGGCAGGTGGGGCCAGGGCCAGTGACTGGGAGGCAGATGGCTACCAGGTGGCAGGTGGCGCTGGGGCTTATGGCTGGGCAGCGAGCCACTACCAAGCAGCATGCAGGGCTGGAGCCAGTGGCTGGGTGGCCACCAGCATGAAGGAGGCCACTAGGACCAGGATGCTGTCAAGAACACTGTGGTCCTCCTCCATGATCCCCAATGCCCAAGCCGCCATGGAGGCCTGCCATTCCTGGGCAGCCACCATTCTCTCAAGGAGGGCAATGTGCCTCTCCTCGAGGTCCAGGAGCCTGGCACAGTATACCTGCTCCTCGCAGTCCCTCTCTTGCTCGTGCACATCCCTCTCCTGCTTGTGCACAACATCCTCAGTGCACTATGCCCACAAGTCCACCAGCCACTCCTCCTGTATGGTACCAGCTGGTCCAGGAGCAGGGTCCAACCCTGCTGTTGGAGGCAGTGCATGCAGAGGGTGCCAGCTGTTGGGGCCACCATCCCTGACACCGCATCCATGGCAGTGGCTAGTGCCTCTCCCCTGGCAAGCAGTTGCCGGACCTGCAGAGCAAGGACAGAGAGGCTCTTTGTGATAGTCTGCAACATTTCAGAGATAACTTGCACTATACCAAGGGTCTGTGAGTGACCAGGCCTCAGATCAGGGATGTATGCACAGTTGCCTAGGGACCATGGTAAGTTGACTAGGCAGCCCCTGCCACAGGTGGCCATCAGCCAAGCCCTCTGTCCCTGCTCCCCCCATGGGGGCAGGAAGCCCACTTGTCATTTGCTGCAGGTAGCCTGCCTTCTCAGCCCCCTCCCCAGATTGAGCCAGGGCTGGCCACAGCTGTTCCAGCCTAAGTCCCTCATTTCTCCTTCTCCAGGCCAGGCAGTTTGCTCCTGCAGTGCCAGGCCCACACCAGCCAGGCTTGAGGGGCAAGGGGCTCTAGCCTGGCTGAGACATGGAGCTGGTGACATCCCTGCCCACCCCTTGGAAGGCCTCTCCAGAGAGGCAGCCAGGGGCAGGACCCACCCTGCATGTGGCCTGTGCCCCACGCGTGCCCCTGCTGAGAGTCTGCTGGGCATACTGTGATGAGCTGTTTGATCACACCAAGGGGTTCCTGACCCACTACGCCCTGCTGCTGATCTCCATGGTGCCCTGGGTGCAGCTGAGAACCTGGCATGGGGCCCTGAGCTTCAATGATGACCCAGGTAAGCCTGCACTTCCCCACAATGTGCACTGCTTCTGGAGGGGTACCTCTTCCTACTCTGGGGGAGGGTCCCTGACCCCTGTGGCCAAGGAGATCACCACTGCCATTGAGTTTCCCTGCATGTGACAGGCCCCTGGCTGCCTAGCTGAGAGGAAACTGGCTGGTGAATAAGGTTCTACGCTGCCTCCCACCTCCCTGCCTGCTGTAGGGGAGAACCCCGTGGAGCAGGGGAAAGCTTGGCCACACAGAGAGGAGGTGCAGGAAGGGGATGGGAGAGGGGGTCCCCTACCCCCTGCATGGGGCCCCTGGCACCAGTTGTGCAGCCCAAAAGCAGGCAGGTGAAGTGGCATGGTCATGGGTGGCTGTGGTGAACTCACCCCCACACCCTCCTTCCTGTGTGGGGTTTACTGGCTGGGCATGGCAGGTAGACCTGGTGGTCGGACTCTGAGCCTGGTGGCGGGGAGGTGGTCCAGCTGCTTGCAGGGTACAAGGGTAAGGAGGCCAAGTGCTTGGCCACATGGGCAGTGGCCCCCTCCTGGTCTGTCCTCATTGCTATGGGTGCACACCCACAGTTGCCAAGGCAGATCCCAGCCTGGGCAGCCCACAATGGAGGATGAGAACACAGGCAGGGAGCTTGCTGGTTGCTGTTACTGCTGGCCCGAGGGGCCCTTCTCTGGCAACTACTCCTCAGAAGTGGCCCACAGCGGGGGTCCAGCAGCCCTGTGGTGCTGAAATAAATGTGCCGCCCATGGCCTGGGTCCCTGGGAGCCAGAATTTTGTCCAGCTCCTGCATGCAGGACATTGTCCCGTGGGCAACCCCATACCATTGGTTGTGGTCTGTCACATAGACCCACTGCACCCACAGGTCCTTGGCCTTAATTCTGCATTGCCTCCTGACCCACTCATGGCCACATCCCCTCATGCGGGGTGCCATGTCTTCGTATATGTGGGCATTGGCCCTGGTGCCCTGGCTGAACTATCTCTGCACCTCCGCCTCACCCCAAATTGCCACGAGGTCAGCAGTCTCCCCTGTCACACACTTGGGGCTCCAGGCTGCTCACCCAGGGGCCAGGGATGCTGACATCACCAGGGGTGCCTCTGCTAGGGACTCCAGGTGACATTGGCTCTGGCTCATAGCCACCAGCAAGGGGCACAGTGCCCAGTGGCCAGGCAGCTGCAGCCATAGGTCCCAAGACAAGCCAGGGGCTTGCAAGAGTGCTGGAGCTAGCACATGCCCATGATGCAGAGGCATGATGCCCAGGGGCTGGGAAGCAGCCAGCAGAGCCCTGGGACACAGGCTAGGGCTGTGCAGCGCTGCTGCAGCCAACACAGGCCCACCGCAGGAACCCACAGAGGCCAGGGTCAGGCAGCAGCTGGTCCAGGGGCCAGGCCAGGGAGCTAAAGGCCAGGCAGGGGTTGCTAAGAAGCTACTTCTGCCCTGGGGCTAGAGGAGCCATGGTGCTCTGCCCCTGGTGGTCTGGCTTACTAGGAGCAAATTTCTTCCCAGTCACTGTCTACATGTGCTCTACTGTGCTTTAGCTAATGCATAGTAAATCTAGTACCTGTATTTTCAGATACTAGAAAACCACACATTAGCCTGTTTTAATATAAAGTAGCTTAGTGCACGGTTCACTAGTGACACTTTACTACAGAGTACATTAGTCCACTGCGCAGTAAGGCATCTCATGTAGGCACTTCCAGAATGGGGCAGTGCAGCAGCATGGGGAGTTCAAGGCGAGTCCAATGCCATGTCTGTTGTGGGGAGAGGATTGGGGCCGCATGCAGGGGAAGTACCTACATGGGCATACACTGAAAGAAGGGAGGGGGGAAGGATCATGTTCACACTGTGCAGCAATAGGGGTCATGCCCAGTATAGTGGGGCAGGGGTGGAGCATCTACATGGTGCACCTGGTATAAGCCATGTTATCCCCAGGGGCTTAGAAGTTGAACAGCCTTGGTATAAATTATTGTGGAGCAGTAGCTTTAGTCTAGTTAATTTTCAAATTCCATTTCTGCTTCAAGACTAACTTTCCTAAGTGCTCCACAAATCCACATTCTAGCACAGATTGCCATGAGATGTGGTATGCCTTATGTGAGTATGAGATAGAGTTAAAGGCTCCACATTTAGGGTCATTTGAGTGATGGATTCCTGAAATACAACCCAACACATGGTGGGGCTGTTGTCTTTCAGCTGACAACATCACACTGAAATGAATGGACTACACATTCCTTTGAGAACTTCTTGCTGTTTCAAGATTGACTAAAAAATCCACATTTATTAAATATGATGTGCTTCTCAGAGGTACAGAGTGGGGCTAGTGACTTGAATTTGGAGTCATTTGACTTAATGATGTAGCATCTTCATCTCCCACCAAACCATTTTTTAAGGCTGACAGTCTATTGAAGTTTCTTGCATATCCTTGGGGAATCATTTAGTGGCATTGATGAGGTCCTTACTTACTCAGCATTCACCCTCCCCTCACTCTGGGGAAGGAATATTGAACACAATATTAAAAGAGTTAAGTTTTATAGAAAGACACAAGCCTAATACTCGAGTGCTGGGAGGTCCCTGCCCTTCTCCAGGGGGAGGGGTCTGAGATCTCCTTAAATCCTCCATACAAACTAGATTCAGGGGTGCCCTGTGTGAGCTACATAGCTGAAGAAATGTATGATTCTCCAGCAAACTGTGGGCCTGTGACATAGGTATGTAGCAGCAGAGAGCATCAAAGAGCAAGGAGCAACTTTTCATATTATTGGCATAATAGGGGAGCATGAATTAGAAGTGCTATATGTTACAGGGATGGTGGAGAATGGGTTGTAGAAGCAGAGACACACACTGTGTTTCTTTAACAGGCGTGACAGTACTGTAACTACCAGAGAACAAAATAAGATTTTAGGACATAGATCATGTCTGTGATTTCTCTTACTAGTCCTAGTAACACTATACTGCGCAACCATAATCCCCAATCCAAGCATAAGGAGAGGAGAAGAGTACATAGGAACCACATAACATCCTTTATTTTCTCTAGTCAACACAGCATCCTAAAGGCAAACCTGCATAAATTAAAACAGCAAAAGTGATTGCTGTGAGAAACATTTCCCTTTCATTTAAAGGGAAAGAAAACTATTCAATTAAATAACAGAAAGCTTTATCGGTACAGTTAAGATTGCCTGGTATCTCATGCTGTGCTAGACAGTTGATTCAGCAAAACTTCAACTACTGAAAACCAGAAAATGAAGTCTAAAGTTGATACTACAACCCCTCCACCCCTTACCTCTGCCCTCTACTCAGTGCCACAGCACACAATTAATACACATGCTCACACTCTGATTTTGAACTGAACTGGAGCTGCCTCTGCTTGTCCTACTGGCAGAAAGATGTCATAGATTTCATAGACATTAGGGCTGGAAGAGACCTCAGAAGATCATCGAGAACACCACCTCTGCTGAATTCTGCAGTCCTTTCTTTCCCTTTTTCTGTCTCTGTCCCCCTTACCTACATGAAACCATTTAACACTATACTTTCACTTACACATTGTTAAATGCACACACCACATACTTCCACCCAAGTGTCCATGGCAAGAAAGCACAGTACCCTGCTACAAAAGGACACTGTATCTCCTGAGCTGCACATGCACTTTCTTTTTTACATCATGTACTTGGACATCAAATAGGAACTCACCACCCATCCCATCTAGAATATAATCCTGAATACTAGGCCTGCGCAAAGCGGCTAGTATTTGCTTCAGATTAGGCCGATTCGGGGGTTTGAATCACTATTCCTAATCGATTCAGCCGAATCTGATTCAGAGATTCGGCAGCAGTCAAATCTCCGAATCTCCAAATCAAGCAGGCCATCCCCTGCCCGCTCTCCCAGCCCTGGCAATGGCTGCCCCACCTGCCACAGCTCCCAGCACTGTGAAAAAAAAAGCCCAGACTCACCGGGTGCTGCTGGGTGGGGGGGGCAATCACGCTGCATGGGGGGTTGCCTCACGCTGCATGGGGGGTTCTGCTTGAGCCTCCTGACCCCCTCCCTCTGCTGTGCCAGCCCCCACACGGCTGCCCCGCCCACCCCAGCTCAGGCCCTTTAAGAAAGAAACAAACAAACCCCCTGAACTCACTGTTCCTGTCTGGCGGGGGGTGGTCCCCGCTGCCCCCCACTGCCCAACACCACATGGGGGGCTCTGCATGAGCCCCCAAAGCCCTGTGGCCACTGCAGAAGCCGGTGAGTCCCAGGGCCTTTCTCAGGTTTTTTTTTTTCTTAAAGGGCCGGAGCTGGGGCAGGTGGAGCAGCCATGGTGGGGGCAGGGGAGTAAGGGAGGGGTCAGGGGACTCGTGGCACAGCCCCCATGC